GGGGTGGAGAGTCGTCCTGAGGCTTAGCGTCCCCGGGAATGGGACTTTGGTTCTGGAGCATGTGGGAGGACGGGATGAGAGACCAGAGTCTGAAAGGCCAGGGAGACAGTAGTTGGGAGGGCTGTCAGTGACTTGGGAGGTCTGGGTGAATTGGGGCCACTGAGAGAGGCGAAGGAAGGTCTGGGAGGAGCATGGAAGTGGGTGGGTGGAGATAGGGGACTCTTGACAGATTGGGTGATGGGCGAGGGAGGGGAGGAGGGTGCGTGGCCCGATTAGCGTCCTGACTGTCTGGGGAGGACTTGGGAGAGGACAAGGGCCTGGGTATGGCTGAGCCAGGAGCGTGGAGGGTGCGTGGAGGGCCACGGAAAAGGTGGAGGCGGTAGGTAGAGAAAGCGAGTCTGGAGGGGCTGGGGCCGCTGCAGGGGGCTGTGCAGGAGGTGGTGGAGATGGAGGGGGGATGGATGTCAGCCGGGACAGGGATCTGTGAGGAATAACACAAGGGTTGTCAAGAGGTGGGGGCCAAAAGAGGGTAGGAGAAGAGCCAGGGAGGCAGGGGTGGGGGTGAGGGAGGTAGGGATGCACCCTCCAAGATCAGGGTTCTTGGAGGGAGGGGGCTGAGCAGGAGAAGGGAGGCTGGGATGAGGGAGGGAGGGGAGGGGTAGGCACGCCACGGCTGCTGTCATTGATTCAACAAATATTGGTGAGGAGGGGCTGTGGCTGCTGGGACTGGGTGTGACAGGAAGCATGGGGGGCATGTGGCTGATGGCCAGGTCAGACCTGGGCCTAGGAGGAGAGAGGAGGGCTCGAGTGACACTGTAGACTCAGGGCTTGTGGGGAGGGTGGCGCCACATTGTTTCTGGCTGTGGCGGTGGACAAGAGGAGGGCTGTCGTACTAGGGCTCACTGGACAGATAACCCAATAGGCACATGCTGAGCGATCAGGTGGTGCTCAGGCCAGGAAGAAGAGTGAGCGTGAGCGGGGTTAGGGTAGCAAGTGGTGGTGGGAACCATGAGCTGGTCCGGGAAGGCATCTCCGAGAAGGTGCCATCTGAGCTGCACCTGGACCAGGTGAGACTCAGCCTTATAGAAATCAGTCCCCTCCACATCTCCCTGCCACACCCCAGCCTTTCCCTCTCCTCACCCCACTCCCAGGCAGGACATCTCGGGCAGAAGGCACAGACAGTGCCAGGGTTCTGCGTTGGGACCAGCTGGGGTGTGGGAGCCCAGTGTAGATAGGGAGGAGCAGAGGAGGGGGTGGGCCAGGCTGTGCAGGGCCCCTGGGACATTGCAGCATGTGGGCGGGCTTTGTGCAGAGGAGTGGCGCTTACTGGCTTCAGAGAGTCCATGATGGGTCCGGGTGAGGTGTCTCGGAAAATGCTGTTTTGACGGAAAGATCTAAACATCAGCTGGGGCCAGGGCTGGTGTATGTGAGTCATCTCTTCAGCTCGAGGTTCTGGGCTGTGGGGATGACTAGAGAGAGGCGGGG